ATATATATATATATGAACAAATTTTGTGCCACACATTAATTTTATGTGTTTATTCCCCATTTCAGGCTGTCATTCTACTCCGGCCACTCGTCTTTCTCCATGTACTGCATGCTGTTCCTCGCTGTAAGTACACAAGTCATTTACGTGCTGAGCTGTGAAATCTTATCCATCACTGTTTACTGGAACACATTACTGAGACGTCTGGGGTTTATGTAAACAAAATAAGATGGTTTTAGATAAATGCTCAACCAATTAGTGTCTGAGCTGAGCTCAGGTTAGTTTAATGAGTGGATTCTGTTACATCCCAACTGTTCCTTTTGTGTCGTCTTTGTGCTAATGACTAAAATCAGAGAAATGGTACAAAAATCATCATTTGTCAAGTGTTTTTATCTGAGCTACGGTGCTTTGAGATCCTGTGTTTTTGGCAACCTTTTGAATTGTATCAGTAGCACTCTACGGTGTTTGTTCAGGATTTAACTGCACAGCCCTGATAAACTCTAAGCTGGTGGTTCATTCAGTACAGGCTGACATAAATAGGCACGAGGACAAAGTACCACAATAAGTCCCTCTCTGTTGTGTGGAAGTTCAACACTGGAAAACCCTGCCTGCAGCATGGCAGCGTTTGCGTCAGAAACAAAAAGAGTCTGGACAAAGGTTAAGCCCGGGTGTCCTTGATACAAAAAGGCACTCCCCGTTTTTAACACACTGTTCAGTAAACCTAAGATTATCCTGCCTCAGACCAGATGGCCAATGAGTGAACTTGTTTTATTAAATGTCAGACTGACACAAGACTTCGTCTCATCTCTGTTGAAGTAATGAAAGTAGAAAATAAAAAGTGCTGAGTCTTGCACAGCTCTGGTCGCTTATTTGCATTAAAAAACAATCTCTTCCTGTGTTTCTCAGCTGTACCTGCAGGCTCGACTCCAGGTCCGATGGGCGCGGCTTCTGAGACCAACCTTACAGTTCTTCCTGATCGCTGCCTCGGTGTACACAGGGCTGTCTCGGGTGTCAGATTACAAACATCACTGGAGTGACGTGCTGACAGGACTTCTGCAGGGTGCACTGATGGCCCTGCTGGTGGTAAGACTTGTTTATCTGCATTGATTTCTTGTTAAATGTTTGCTTCCTGTTAATAATCACAAATAAAGTGGCACTTTTATTTGCTCTCTATCTTTAAGCCAAGGTTAGCACTGATAAGATTTCTACATTTCTGGCCTTGCAGGTCTTCTGTGTATCAGATTTTTTTAAGCCTTGTGAGGAGACCCGTCGAGAAGCAGACATCCTCCATACAATGCAGGAGACGCCCACAAATGGAAACCACTTTGAAAGTCCAAACTAAGCTCGGAGAGCAGCGGGGACCTCTGCTCCCCCCAAACCCACACCCAGAATTCCAGCAGCGAAGCTTCATCGTCCTCAAACTTCCATCCACTACAATGCATGGACTTTCAGTGTGAACTCTCAATATTCTCTTAAACGCAAGGAAAGGAACTCGTTGACCACCACCAGGCCTATTCAAATTTCTGTTTTTACAATATTTTGTCTTCTAAAAAAAGAAAAAAAAAAAAACGAAAATGGTGCGATAACATGTTCGGATCATTGGAAGCTGTAGGTTAGAGGCTAAAGATCCTAAAAGGATGGGACTCATTTAGCATCCACTGAGGCAGTAAGAAGACTTGAATGCATGCACTCACTTAAAGGGCCTGACCACTGCTGGAAACCTGTGAATGTAACCCTGCTTAGTGCTTTTTCCTCACCTGGAGTCGGCATGCTTGATAATCTGATTTGGGCTCAGTTTCAAGTCTTCGCGCCTTCGGTTAGTATTTAAAGTTTGCTGCCTGAGGGCCAGGCTGGATCAAGGGTGTCGTTCTCTGGGACTGCCGACTCTAGGCTGCTGCTGTCTTACTCTCCAGCTGTCTAATCTGACATTACAAACTAGCGATTTGACTTGTGTAACATTTGGTTAAAGAGGTGTAGAGTAAGTAGACTGATAAATCCCACGTTGCCTTTGCTGGTCTGCTGCAGCTGCTATCACAGCTTCCTGTGTATTTAATGTAAACAAGTAAATAGACAATGTGCTTTTTGTATAATCTGTATGTAACCAAGCCACCATACAGACTTTTATTAAAACGATGTTACAAATATGTACAAATGTTGAAATAAAGCCATTTTACTCAATATTAGCAAAAAGGAAGCATGTGTTGTGGATCAGTTTACTTTGGAAGCAAAGAACTAATTCAAAACTTTTAATTTGTTCTGACCACAAACATTTATGTGAAAAAAAAAAGGTTTAAATTGGAACTAAACACAGATTTTTGACAAGCAGAAGAAGAAAACAGGTTTGGACAGGTTCATACCTATAAATACAGACTGGCAGCAAAGACTATGTCTCTCTTGATCTTCGTTATTCCTGCGGAAAGAAAACAAGAAAATTATTCCTGCAACTAGTTCATATACAAATCAAAAGTCAATTATCATTTATTTGTGAGGAAAGTCATTTAGTAGGGGAAGAAAGGTTAAAATCTCAGTAGTGTAGATCTGTTCGGAGTCATGCACAATAAAACTGATACTGAAGTGGCAAACAAAGCTTTGGTTTTCAGATAATATAAGAGCTATATTACAGCTTTATCAGATTCCTCTGTTTGAGTCAATAAGATGATAACTGTGTTATTAGTTATTAATAGTTTATGACCTGATTATTTCCTCTCCTGGAACAGAAACTATAGTTTGGTACGTGTAAGCATTCTAACCTAAAACAGTCCCAATTTTGCAATAAGAATTTTGCATTTTGTAACTAAAACTCAGCCTGAAACATTTAGTTTTATGTTCCACCAGAAAACTAATCATTCTGACTTACCTTCTGCAAACTTGTTCTCCAGTTCAGTGTTGCCGATGGCTTTGGCTGCAGAGCACATCTGTCGCAGCACTTCCTCGAGGCGGCGCATGCAGCGGATGATGCTTCCTAAACAAAACACATGCATGACGGAGAAAATTAAAGACATTTCTAAAATTAAACTGACAGCCAGATAGTTACGGGTATTTCTCATTTCGGTTTCTGTTCCCAGAACACATGCAAGCCCAGTCCTCCCTAAAGTTTCTCAACTCAAGATTCCCTTTCTGCTTTTCAACATCCAATATTTAACAGATGAACTCAGAGCTGGCACAGAAACTTTAAGGGAGAAATCTGGAACTGGGAAACGAGCCATGTGTAATAAATCAAATTCAAAAAAGCCTTGAGCAGTCTCAAAAAGCTGCATGAACGGTAAAAGAAAAAGAAAAAGGGAATAAGAACAAGAAAAACATGCTGAACAAACCCTCAAAGACGTCAGTCATCTTGCAGATTTGCGCAAACGTGGACCCGTTGGCCCAGGCGTAGATCACATCCATCAGGTGGGGCTTGAACTGGGTCAGGTAAGAATCCTCGTCCACCTCCAGCTTGGCGTCTGCAGACACTTTGGCAATGCGCTTCGCACACTCCTGAACCCAACAACATAACCTTTCAGGTTTTCAAAATCCAAATCGTCTTGGAAAATGGTTTGTGCTTTTGCGTCGTCTCACCTGCATCTGCCTGAGAGGTGCAGCCAGCTGTTCAGTCAGCTTTGGCATCTCGTTGGCCTGCAGAATCAAATAACTATTAATTACTACAAAGTAAAGCACAGTCACAGGAATAACATAAAGGTGTGTGTAAGGGTATGTTAAGTTTGGAGCTGAGCAAAACACAAACCATCCTGCAGGGATGCTGTGAACTAGTGATTGTTGTTTGCAGTGATTGGGCACAGCTAACTAAAGAGTTAGCTACACTAACCACTAATCTGCTAAACAGTCAAAATAAATAGTGGAAGCTAATGCTAACCGCTAAGATGACAGTCACTAGGACAGACACAAACCTGCTAATTTTCTATTAGTTTGATTTGAAGAGGTATTGGCACACTCAAACCAATCATAGTTCTGTCTACCTTGTGATACTTCCAGTTTATCCCTTTCAGAACAAAAGCATTTTTAGACCAAGTTTGTATTTTTATAAATACCATTTGAAGTTGGTCAAACAAATAGCAAATATCTTCTCAACCATACTTTATAGTCAGTTTTTGTATTTGTCATTTAAATATTGTTAAATGTTTTTTTTTTCTTTTTGACACTCAGTTTTAAGTTAAGCCACTAAAGATGCTACATGCTACACATGGTGCATGACACGCTTAGCACTGCTTGTAAAAGGGGATAGTTTCTATTTAATTCAGGATAAATGGCATCAAAAAAACAAGTTTTACACTTGTGGACTTTATATTAGTGGAAGCTAATCGGTCCACTAAGGGTTTCCAAAGTTAGCAGGAAAGTCAATCTGCTAAATAAGAAGCTAGTTCTGCTACAAACGGATTAGCAGAACTGTGCTTCACAACTGGTTGTTTGCTATTTGCTGTATGCTAACCCAAACACAACCATGTGGATGGAGGGTTAAATAAAACCAATATAGTGGTCATTCTAATCCTGATAGAATTTGGGGAATAAGATGTTTAAGTTTTTGTGCATCAATGCTGACTCCACCACAGCTGCAACTTGTGGCTTTATACAAAGAGTCAGACGTGTAGAATTTATTCAATCTATCATCTATGAAACGAAAGATCTAAAAAAAAGTCACCAAAAAACTGTAAAACTTAAAAAAAAAAACTATCAGGCATTGGGTTTTAGATTTAGCAACTGTCATTTAGGAATCTGTGGAGGTAATTTTGTTTTATTATCCAAACAAAAAAAATAAAGGTAGTTTCGATCCAAAAACTTTTTACAATAAAAAAAATAATAATAAAAATAAAAATAAATAAACAAATAAAAATTCTACCCAACAAAAAAGCAATTTCAGTACGAAAAAAATTCAATCCAATTTTTTTTTTTGCAAAACAAACTTTTTCTTCGCATATCGGAACTCTTTGGTTGAATCTCAAACTTTTGGTCGATGCTCTAAGTTTTGCTTCCTGGTACAACAGTTGGCTCTGGAAGCGAGTCTTTTTTTTTTTTTTGGAAGCGAGTGGTTGAAGTAAAATGCAGCGTCCGAGCGCTTTCAGCACAAACAAAAACTCCCACGAACTTCTGACCAATCACACAAGTTCTTATGTGGAGCGGGGGAGGCGTAAAAAGTTCTGCCAGGGTGTTGTGACAAAATGGGCGGCCGAGTCAACGCTGAGAACACGATGACATCATTTTCATCATGGAACTGCAACAAATTGAGCCAATTTCGGCAGTTCAGAGAGTGTGAAGTAGGCTTTACATAGTTCGTTCCTAGGCCCCGCCCCGGACTTTCATGTTCTCGGAGTTCATAACTTTTTTTGAGTTCAACCAAATCTTAGAGCATCAACCAAAAGTTTGAGATTCAACCAGATTTGACACGTGAAAATAAAATGTTTGTTTTGCAAAATACCTCTTGATTAAACTGTTTTTGATTGAAAATGCTTTTTTGTTTGGTTGAAATTATTTTTTTGATTGATTTTTTTGATCGAAACTACTTTTTGTTTGAATAATTAAAAAAAACTAAATTACCTTCATAGGAATCCACATAAGATAAAAAACCAAAAACATCTTCTTTCAACATTAGTCATTTAAAATAGACAAAGTGAAGCAAAACATAAAAGTTTGTATTTTCATTTTCACTGTTTTTTTTAGGCATCCAGAATTAAAAGACAAACTAAAAGACAAAAAAGTGATAGTTTTTCCTCTATCAAACAACCAGCAGGTCTGTGTTAAAATGCTCCACTCTGTAGTCAAACAGAAACAGACCGCTAATTCGTTTGTCATTTACAAGTATCAGAAACACAGCAGCACCTCACTGCTATTTGTAGCTTCCTTTTGAAGCTGGTTGCTCAGCAGAGCTCTGCTAAAAGAACGTAAAGCAGCTGTTGTTTGTTTCAGTTGGATCATCTGTCTAACAATGGGCTAACAGAAAGCTTGACTTCCAAAACATGCCTCAGTCAGGACATAGCTGGATAGTAAACAGTTTCCTGACAAATAAACCCAAAACTGTTTTTCTGTTTAAAAAAAAACAGGAAAAAAATCTTTCCTTGTGGTCTTTAATGAGACCACACAATAAGTGGACAGAAAAAAATGTATCAGAATAAAATATGAAGAACCACTACTGAGATGTGATTACCTGCAAATTAGCAGCACACAAAAATGCAATCATCACAGTTGTACAGCAAACATGACAGGGAGCAGTCACTGCCCACAAAGACAGATACACTGATCGAAGCAGACGTTTGTTCTTTTAGGACGACTGAGGAAATGTGGAGCCAGAGAAACGTTCTGCTTAATTCTCTGTTTAAAACAACAGACCTCATTAGACAAGACAAATATATCAACTTCAACTTTCTGTTTTGGTTGCAAAGCAGGGAAACGGGCCAAGAATGCAACTCAGAGTGGGAATGGGAATCAGATGTTTAGGTTCAGTGTTCGGGGGTATGTTTGTGCAAAGAACGAGACGAATTCTGTGTGTTTGTTCGTACGTTCTCCTGGAAGACGAAGCAGGACAGGAGGGCGGTGGCTTGTTCAGCCGTCAGGTCGTTGAAGAGGCCGTTAAACACCATCTCTGTCAGCAGGAGCTCATCACCGCTGGGAAAAAAAAAGTTTAATTTACATAATCATAGTGAGGAAATGTAACTGGGGCAGGTAACACACACAAATCCAAACACAAAAGTGATAATGTTAAAGACCAACAAAGCACCCCAGATAACACGTGTTCTTCCCTACCTGCTGATTTCACAGGCGACACGCCCTTTCATCTCGATGACATCAGAAGGACTGGCAAAGCCGAGTCTTCGGAGAACCCTCTTCCGGCACTTCAGCTCATCCATCTGCAGGACGGTTCGAGCCTTCTTCAGCTCTCGTTTGGCCGTTCGAACATCTGCCGCAATCTAAGAAATGCAACAGCACGCAGTACGTCATGCGGTGTAATATACAACAAGGCAAAGGGGTTAACAGAAATACACATCGCTCATAAACCTCTGTCAGAACTACCAGCTGTTCTGAGCACAGGCTAATCTCCAACAGTACAGTAACTGTCACAGTGATTAACAGGACTGTGGCTGAAAGTTATAGCAGATGGTTCGGGCTTATCTTGCAGACTTACACCAACAAAATCCATAACCCACGTCAGTCTTATTACTCACTGTTGCGAAACACAAAGCTCGGCCAAATATGCACACAAA